GCTCCAAAATTTGGCATCTTTTATTTCTGGATCAGAACTATTAAACTCTCTAGCCCTTTAGTATAAAAATGAACAAACAAAATAAACCAGCTTGAGTCAGGTTTAGCAACATTAATGTAATCCAGAAATTAACAATAATATGGTGTCCTATTCACCATAAAAGTTAAAAACATTTTTCAGAAATGTCTTTCTACCCTTTTCAGGGTTGCTTAAAAAAGAAAACAGAGATCAAAAGATATGTAGACTATCTTTTATAGTTTGGGGCAGTATTTGTATATAAGTTGATCAGATCTTTCTATAACTGTAATACTACAGTTAATGTAAGTATAATGATAATTCTTGGATCCATCTGGTGTTTCATTTGCCTGAGGAGAGAATATAGCACTATAGATGAGTGCTTGGGTTTGTGGAACAAAGTTACCTGGATAGAATCTTCTGTTTCCCAGCTGTCTGGCCTTTGACAGATCTTTCAGTTTTCTTTATCTGCAAAATAGGTATACTAATTATATTTACATCATCGTTGGGAAGATGAAAAGAGATGATCCATGTAAAATGCTGAGTCTAGCACCTGGCACAGAGTAAGTACTCAAAATTTAGTAATTAAAAATAGTAAGACCAAAGTGCAGACATTAAGTAACTCACATGTGTAGACACACGTAAGAGAACACACATAGTTAAAAGAACATATAGTTTAAAGAGATGGACCTCTCAAATTGTCATCCTTAGTGATTAATATATAAATTAGTAAAGGCATTTAATTCAAACTTCATTTTGGGTTGGAGGGAAATACTATAAGAGATCCATTCATTCATTCATTCATTCATCCATTCATTCAACAAACGCTGATACTATGAATGTGAGCATAATGGGCAAGGTCCTTGTTGTGCTGAAGCAGAATGGTCTGGTGAGAAAAGAATGGGAAGTGTGTGCTACTGGGTAGAGGTGCAGAAGCTCAAACAGAACTCTCAGTGAGAATCACAGGACTCCTTAGAACTGGTCAGAGAAGGAATTTTGTGAACAGAACTTTTATGCTATGACTGAAATAACATTAATTTGTTTAAAGTCACAGAGTCATGTTCTAAGGTTAGAGGGAGGTCAAGAGATGACAGATCAGTCATTTGTTATAAACTCACTGAAGAGTTCGGTGATTTCCAGGTAAGATTATACAATCATCTGTGGTTAGTCTGGCCTGGGGATGGACTGTTCACAAGCTTGACAGAATATTATGGAAGTACTCATTACAAAGCTTCTAATTACTCACTTTTTACATCTGGGGTAATAACATTGGGTAATGTTGTATAGGAGAATTAATGAAAGTGACATCTAGATATAGTCCTTTATCAGTAAAATATTTTTATGATTACATGAAATTGTAAGTGGAAAATCATCTTATTTTAGTTATTGAAAAACTCAGTGCTATGGTGGTAAGAGTGAAATGAACATATACAGATGTCTGAGGCATCCCCTTTGAACACTACATTTCACTTTCCACAGCAATAGTTGTAGAAGAAAGGTAGAATATATTAAGTGAGTGTATATTTCTAAGACAGAATTTGTGAACTAGTGTTTAAAAGTGTGGAACATAGAAAAAAACTGAAAAGAAATTTTTAAAAGTGGCCCACTGTTCATTCCACAGTTATTGCTTAACTATTTGTAGTTTCGAACTTCTCCTTTTTTTCTGTAGTTTTAAAAATTTTTCAACAGACTCAGACATACATTTGGATGTGTGAATCTGGGTATGTATATACCTGTATAGTTATTTTTAATTAAAATAATGGTGTGCTCTTTCTTGTATTACCATAACTTCATGGTAGATGTGGTTTTTGTTTGCAGCATAATATTTCATTTCATAGCATCCTTTTTTTGAACCAATTCCCAAAATGAACTTTGTTGTTCTCATGACTAATCATAATTTTTCTGTAATATCTCACCTTTTATAAGACAAAACTACTTCTCAGTCTCAAGACAAGTTTTTCTAAAAAGAATCTAAGACTTATCATCTTGATTTCGATGGGGGAAAATTTTCATTGGAAGATTTGTGAGGTTAAAACTGTTGAGGTTTTGGGGCTGGGGATTTAGCCCAGCGGCAAAGCGCCTGCCTGGCAAGCGCAAGGTCATGAGTTCGGTTCCCGGTACTGGAGGAAAAAAAAAAAACTGTTGAGGTTTTAGTACATCATACGTTCCACCAAATATAAGAACCAAAACTAAAGAAATATGATTCTGTTTTTTTAAAATTAGGAAAACTTTAACATGTATTTGTAGTACCTGAATTTCAGTATCTTTTTGACAACATTGATCTTGAAATTTCTCCCTTTCACATCTTGTTTTGAAATTCTGTATTTTTATTGTTTTTGTGTTTTTATCTTTGTTGTTATTTTGTTTTCTTTTCTCTCTAAAATAAAAAAAACTTGATATTTCTAACAAATTAGTAAAGGATAATATAATTTTAAAATTATAAATTGCTCAGCTATCTAGAGCATAAAGCAGAATAAAATACATTAATTATTTTTCATTAGTGGAAGGATGCATAATAATTATATTATTAAAGTTCTTCATGTGATGGCTTAGTCTATTCCTGATGTTATAACAAAAATACCTTAGACTCAGTAATTTATAAACAACAGAAATTCATTGCTTACCATTCTGGAGGCTGGGAAATCCAAGATGCAGGTCCCAGCAGATTTGGCATCTAATAGTGGTCTGATCCTTTCTCCAAAGGTGGCACCTGTTGCTCTATCCTTCCATGGTAGAATGACAAAAGGAAATGCAAAATCCCCCTTAGGCCTCTTTTAACAAGGGAACTAAACCAGTCATGGCCTTTATGGCCTAACCATCTTCCAAAGTCCCTACCTGTTAATACCACCACCATATGGATTAGGTTTCACTGTGAATTTGGGAGAGACACACACATTCAGAGCATAGCATGTGGTTCTTGGATCTTTTTGTGTCTTGAATTTTTATAGACTTCAACTAGTTGAAAACTGAATTTTCTCCTTGGGTATTTAAATTGAATTTCCCTAGATTATTATCCTCTATTTAACTCTCATATGCTACTGTTGGGATTAGAAATGCAATCTGTCTTATGCACAGTTTAACAAAATGTGTCAGAAATCTTTAAATAAATTTTTATCCTTTACCTCAATTTGAAATCAATGGCCTATTCTTACAGAAATATTTGACCAAGTGTATAAAGATTAATGCACAAGAATGTAGCCTTGCTTATAAAAGTGAAATACTGCAAATGACCTTAATGTTCAACATTTATGAATTAGTTAAGTGAATTATGATACATTCATATAATGAAATATTATGAAGCTATTAAAATTATATCATCTGTATTTTTAATTTGAGAAAATTGTTGCTGTATAACATGTATATGTGTGTTATATGAAATTATTAGATGTTTATAGTTAAATACTGATGAATATCTCCCAAAGAGGGTAACTTTTGTTTTGTTGTTATTAAAATTGAGTCCTTCCTTGTAATTGTAATGCACTAGAATCATTTGTCTCTTGAGACCACTCCTAGTTTATTTTAAGCATGTAAAGTAGTATTTTACCTCCCATTTGCATGACAGAGAAGCAAACACCTAATTTGTTCAAAAGTATCACTGTCTCATTAAAGTATAAATTAGAAAGTAGACTGTCTGAGATACATTTCTGGTTTTTACTGCTTAAAATTGTTGTCTGGTCTGTTTATCCTGATTGTAGATATGGCATTGGATTCCAGGCACTTGCAGGAACTTTAAAAGCTGGGGATTTCTACCATTCTTTTGCTATTTGAGCACTGTATTTCCAGTGGACCTTTCAGCCCTTCTTCCTTGTGAAGGATCCTAGGGTCATTTTAGCCAGAAGGTTGAATCCTAATCTTCAGCCCTCGTCTCCACTGATGGGGCCCTTTATGGCTGTGTTCATATCACTGTAAGGTGGAACATCTGGTTTTCCCTACCAGGTGTGGCAGATGGGTGTCCTCAGAGCCCCCGCCCAGCCCTGCCTTAGGCAGAATCTCTCATCTTTAGGGACCAAGAGATGTTGTACGGAGAGGAATAATATCTTCTCTGTCTGTCTAACACCCCGTGTTGGAGTTTCCATTCATACATGTGTCCAAGGGACTTGCCTTCGCATTGGGTTGGCTATTTGCCCAAACTGTAGATCTAAGTCTTTCCCATAGACACCTCATTCTCCACCTCTTGCTGGTTGAGAATCCCCAGAAAATCCCACAGTGATTGATGGAAAATCCAGTATGCAAATCCACATTGGTACAGTTTAGCTTAAGAGACTACAAGGAAGAAGTGAACACAAAGAGGAGGAGGGGATATTAAAACCCAAATCTCTCTCCCTCTATGTACTATATGCTCAAAAGTGAATGTGACTATAGCTTGAAACCTAAAGATGATCAAAGGAGGATCATGAGTGGAATCAAAAGTGGTGGAAAATTGTTCTCTCCTAGGAGCCATTCATTTATGTGAAGAGTAATTCCATGCAAGAATGTGCCTGATATATTATTGTGTCTTTGTAGTGAACATATCCCATAAATAAGAAATGAATGGGAAGCCAGTAGGACAAAGTATTCATTAACACTTTGTGCTGTTTATAATTGTTACCAGAGCAGAGTGGATATGGGAGAGCTCAGCACATTTGGCATATTCATCCTGTATGATCATACATTTGTTCATTCACCCAGACAATCAACCAGCCATTCAATAATTACCTAATATAAGACAGGCAGGACAAGCAGATCCTGGAGTTATTCATAATGATGAGCAAAATAAACACAGACCCTGTCTCACCAAACTTGTAGCTTACTCTGAGAAACAAACAACACGCAAGCTAAATGCAGTGGTAAAACGTCAGGGACCAGCATGTTAGAGCAAGGGAACTTCTGCTAGATGGAAGGACTAGCAGATGTTAGCCTGAAGAAGGGTCCCAAAGTGTTAATTGGTGTCTCAGTGCTGATTTCACAAAAAGTGATACTTGTTTCTTTTTTAAATTTCTTCCTAGGATGTTCAGCTCTTCCCCACGATGAATGAGTGTCACTATGATAAACGGATGGACTTTTTTTATAACAGGAGCAACACCGACACTGCCGACGAGTGGACAGGAACAAAGCTCATAATTGTTTTGTGTGTTGGAACATTTTTCTGCCTGTTTATTTTTTTTTCTAATTCTCTGGTCATCGCAGCAGTGATCAAAAACAGAAAGTTTCATTTCCCCTTCTATTACCTATTGGCAAATTTAGCTGCTGCAGATTTCTTTGCTGGAATTGCCTATGTATTCTTGATGTTTAACACTGGCCCAGTTTCAAAAACTTTGACTGTCAACCGCTGGTTTCTTCGCCAGGGGCTTCTGGACACTAGCTTGACTGCCTCGCTGACCAATTTGCTAGTTATTGCAGTGGAGAGGCACATGTCAATCATGAGGATGCGGATCCACAGCAACTTGACCAAAAAGAGGGTGATACTGCTCATTCTGCTGGTGTGGGCTATTGCCATCTTCATGGGGGCAGTCCCCACATTGGGCTGGAATTGCCTCTGCAACATCTCTACCTGTTCTTCCCTGGCCCCCATTTATAGCAGGAGTTACCTCATTTTCTGGACTGTGTCCAACCTCGTGGCCTTCTTCATCATGGTGGCGGTATATCTGCGGATCTACATGTATGTCAAGAGGAAAACCAATGTCTTGTCTGCACATACCAGTGGGTCCATCAGCCGCCGGAGGGCTCCCATGAAGCTAATGAAGACAGTAATGACTGTCTTAGGTAAGAGGAGCTTAGTGAGCCTTTACTCCCATTCATTACCAAGTTTTTATTCAGCATCTGTGGTGTATAAGACATTTAGTGGGGAGTTTAGGATGCAGTAATGAAAAAGAACAGACATAAAGCCCCTCCCATCTAGAGATTATACTCAAATAGGGGAAGACAAAATAAATATTCTACTACAGGGAAATAAATAAAATTTATAAAACAAGAGGTGTCCTATGGGGAAAAATAAACCAAGAAAGGAAAATTAGGAGTGCTAGGCATGTAAAGTTTGTGATTTTAAAAAAAAATCCCTATGAAGGGCACCTAAAACTTGGCTTTGGAGCAGAGATGATGATGAGGGAGTGAACCACTTAGGAAAGGGTGCCAGGTAGAAGATGCAGTAAGCACAGGACCCCTAAACAGCAAGCAGCTGGTGTGGTCATTGTAGAGTGAGGCAGAGGAGGAGGAGATGAGGTCAGAGAGCTGACGGTGAGAAACTGCAGTACTCTGATTATAAGGACTTCGGCTTTCCTGAGTGAGATGAAAAACTACTGGAAAGTTCTGCACAGGGAATGACAAAGTCTAACTTACATTTTAGGGGTATCTTTCTGGCTTCTGTTTTAATGGAAGACTGTATAGTAAGATAAGGGCAGAAGCAGGAAAACTGCTTAAAAGATTATTCCAGTGCTCAAGAAGGATCACAGTGACCAGAGGGCAGCTGGAGGTGATGACCAGATCCTGGGTAATTTTTTAAAATCATCGATAAGATTTGCCAATGAAGAAGGTAAAGGGAGGAGGGGGAAGGAGGGAATGGCCTTAACAGAGACGGGGAAGACGGAAGAGGAGGAGGTGTAGGGGAAGGTCAAGAGGAGTTTGAACTAAATCTAAGATCCTGCTAGACATCCAAGTGGAGTGCTGATGCTATTGAATAGGCTATTGGATGTGTGAATCAGAAATTCAGAATTTTAGTCTAGGCCTATGTGCAAGTCGTGGGCCGGGTGAAGAGCTGGTACTTTACCCGCAAGGCTGCATGAGCGCACCATGAAAGTGAACATGAATGTTGAAGAGAAAATGGTCAAGGAATGGGCCTTAGCATCCCAGGCCTTGGTGGCCTAGACGCAAGACAAGGCTGCCGCCAAGGAAAGGGAGAACAAGGTGAGCAACTCTGACCTGTGGTGCTTGGGACAAGAAGTGTTTCGAACTTTCTATGTGTTGGTGCTCAGAAAGTGTTAGATTTTGAAGCATTGCAGACTTTGGATTTTTATTTTTGGATTAGAGAAGCTCAACTGTATGAGCACTGTTAATACTGCTCAGAGGTGGAGTAAAGTAACGTCTTACTGGGTTCAGCAAAATGGTGGCTTTTTTATGACTTTGAAAAAATAAAATTTAGTACAGCCGAGAGCCTGATTAGAGTAAAATTAAGAAAGGAAAGGAGGAAATTCTTTAAGTTCATGAGTTTGGATAGCTCTGAGTTTTGTTCTGCACTGTAAGCCTTGGCCTACGAAGGCAAGGCTGGTGTGGTAAACTTTCCTTTATGTTTTGTTTTCTCTCTGGTAGGTGGCCTATTGTTCCCCAGTTCCAGTCCTGGGTTACACGTAGAATTTGTGGTATGTGGACAAGCAAGAACCTCTATGTTTTCACAGGCCTTGTCCTCTAACGAGAGTCCGTTTTTCTCTTATATGGCGGCTGCCACAGTGGGCATGGCTACTGATGTCCAGAAGTATATTCCTGTCAGGTGTCAAAGTGAAGGGATGATAAAATAAACTCTGGGGAGATCATTGATATTGGAGGATGCAGAGTGTGTGTTGTGTAGAAGGAAAATGTGATCCCTAAGTACTGACACTGCAGGCAAGATTTCCAGGTCAATAGAAAAACAACACAATTGTTAAAATAATGTTAAATTGAGGGCTTCTTTAAAAAAAAAAGTAGTGCTCAGTTTGTGCTAGGTACTGCCATGTTTCTGTGAATATTACTTTGTCTAATCCTCATGGCAACCCTATCGGGCAGGTGCCACTGCTGTCACCACTGACCAGATGAAGCAGCTGAACAAAGAGTGTAAGCCATTTTGCTGGTAATCTGGAGCCAGGACTCGCTGTGCAGCTCGTACCAGAGCACATGTGTTTAGCACCACCCTCAGCAGTTAGTTTTTCTTTATTTGGACTTTTGCTGGCGTCCTCTTTGCCCAGCCTTCTGCTCTGACTGCCTCATCCTCTTTTTTGCACTGTGACAAGAGTAAGAAAGGGCAAGTTCACATTCACCAGTATTTCCCCTCTTGAGCTAGAAAGGGCGTTAATGTTTTTGGCTCAGAGCAAAGTTTGGTATTTGTAGATTGTGTCAATCAACTCTGCCCTGTCTCCTGTCTAACTTATAGGCTTAATCTTTCGGTTGGTATGTGTCTTGAGGAACTACCTGCCTTCCTGGAAAAATATTTTTTTCAGTATATTATATTATTATCAGTAGTATACAGCAGGAGAGAGAAAAGGCTTCTGTACTTCTAGGTGGAACGGACAGGACTGTGTGGTAATCACGGCCACTAGCTTCGGTTCATACTGTTGTGTATCATTTTATCTGGAACAGTTATGAGGAGTTTAAAATAAAGGGCTTTGCGGTTTTGACAGGTGTGGTGTTGGGTAAGAGAAAAACTGAAATAAACAATGGCATTGCCAAGTAGGATAAGAGAAGTCACGGGACTAAGATGAAGCAGCACTGGGGAATTGGTTAATGGCAGGATGACAGTCTGGTGTTGAGGGGCCTGGGGAAGTTCCTCAGTGGTGAGACAGAGGGATCTGGTGGGAGACGGGAGGTCTGGGGACAGGGGAAATGAAACTGAAGAGCGGGGAAGTGTAAAGTTTTTAAGACTTCTAGCTTCTGATTTCTTTGGATAACAGAGATTTGGGGTTTAGCCCCAGCTGTTATGTTTTCTGCAAGGTAATCTGCAGCACATTAGTTCACCTTTCCTTGGTTAAGTTTCCTCATCTGAGAGGAAATAAGCAATCTTCAGTTCTTTCCAAGTTGTAAAGTTCAGTGGTCCCAAGTTGTAAAGTTCAGTGCTTGAATGAATTTGTTGAATTTCATCTCAGTCCAAAGACAGGGCAAAGGATGGACAGAGAGGAGAGTCAATATATAGTTTTCAGAGACTTCTTAGAGGGCTTGGGACATAATCTTGAAAGACTGGTGGAATTTGTATGGGCAAGAGGAAAAGACATTCTAAGCAGGAAATACTGTAATAAAAATACAATGGTAGAAACATCTAGAGCTCATGTAAAGCCACAAGGAAGGACCCAGGAACACCGATGTTTGATGTGGCACCACGAAAATAGTGAATTTGTGAGCCGGAAAGGTTTAGCCAGCTCTCTTGGGAAGGGAAGAGTAGACCAGATAACCTTTGTCAGTAGGATTTTGGCTGAACACAAAAGCGCACAGAACAGTATAGTAAGCAGACCGCTTGCTTGAGGGTGGCGGCGGCGGTGAGGGTGGAGACGGTGAGTGCACGATTGGAAAGGCGTGCAGGCACCCTGTTCCCATTTCAGCAGCCCTGAGGCAGAATGCTTGCTTACTTCTGGGTTATGATGTGTGATGGGGCCCTTTATGTGAGAGATGTTACTTACTGGTTCTCACTGAAAAGACATTGGGGATATATAATCCTGCTTCCCAAAGGGTGCCAAGGCCCTGCTTAGGAGCATTTCAAAATCCCACTTGTCAACATGGCTAATCGGCTACAGTAACCAAACACATAAGATACCCCATGTTTACTGTCAAACAGCACCGTGTTCACTGAGCACACAGGGATAAGAAAATGGGCCGGACTTTCCTATTCTGCAATGTCTTGAAATACAAATGAAAAAAATAAAGGGTGAAGGGGTTTATGACTCATACATTTGAAGTCTTCCATAACCTTCCTGTTTCTCAGGGTGATATTTTCCAGCTGTGGGTGTGACCCCCTGGAGTAGTCTCTATTCATCCAAGGGAGATATATTCCAGGACCCCAGTGGGCACCTAAAGCTGTGGGTAGCATGAAGACCTATGTACTATGTTTTTTCCTGTGCATGCATACCAGTGATAATTTGATTTATAAATTAGGCAGACTAAGCAATAACAATAGCTTACCATAAATCTCAGGAACTTCAGCATACCGTTTTTGTTTTTCCTTTCCTGAAGTTGAAAATGTTCACCTTTTAACTTAGAAGAAGTACTTTATGGCTTCTCTTGGGCATGTCTAAATCACCAGCATTACTACTTTTGTACCCTGAGGCCATTATTAAGTAAAATAAAAGTTACCTGAACGAAAGCACTGTAATGCAATGACAGTTAATTTCATCCCTGAGGTGGCCACTAAATGACCAATAGAAGGGTAGCATATAATGTGAGTATGCTGGACAAAGGGATTATTCACATGTCAGGTAGGATGGAGTGGAGCAATGCAAGATTTCATCACTGATCATAATGGCACACAATATAGAACCTATGAGTTGTTTCTTTCTGGAATTTTCCAGGTAGCATTTTCAGACTGCAGTTGGGTAACTGAAACTATGGAAGGCAAAACTGTGAATAAGGACAGAGTATCACCGTGGAATTGTGGCCAGCATAGTTTTGATGGGACATGAAACAAAAAGAAATGTTAGAGTACATTGTGTTTAATGGGTATAGGTATAGTTTCATAACCCATCCTTTCACCTTTGCTAGAATTGCCATGTTTGTCCTGAGTCTGAAATGAGCTAGGACCAGGACCTGGGTATTTGACACTGTCGATGGGCTTCATTGATGAAACAAATATCTTGTCTGAATGAAAGAAGGAGAGTTGGAGAGAAAGGGAACAAAGTGGAGGGAGGAAGGGATCAAAAAGGAGGGAGAAGGGAACACACACACTCGCGCGCGCACACACACACACACACACACACACACACACACACACACGCACGCACGCACTCCAAAACCAGGAGGCAGGAGAAGCTGAGCAGGGCTCCTGGGACTTCCCGAGATGTTTGTTTTCAGTTCACAGGGCCTTGTAGTTGCCTCCG